TTTTTTAAATGTATAAATAAGGAGGAGAAGAAGAGTTGAAGGGAGAGGGTAGGGAAATGGGGGGAAAAAAGAATCAGGATATATCATTACAAGTAAAAATTTTGTATGATGAATGTGATCATCATATATACCTAAAATGTACCAATAAACTTAATTAATTAAAAAAGATGGACTTTTGATGTTACTTAACTCATAAGGAATGTGTTGAAATCATAAGAAATAGATATTAATCTAGTGGAAAAAGAATGAAAGAGAAAAGATAGAGATGGAGGTCTGAGGGCAATGATTATGTAGAGGAACCATAGAACCTAAAATTTCCCAGTGCTTTGTAAGCTTTATGACCATATTAATGAATTTCATTCTACTGGCAAAAGCCATTCTACCCAAAAGGTACTTAAAACTGATAAAATGATTCAGTGGAAAGTAACCTACCTAACTTCTTGGGGCCAGTTTGGATAATAAGATCTGGTATATTGAAATATATCCTCTTCACTTGTGGCTTTTATCGTTGTAATATTTCTCCATCGTATACTTGTCTGTGTTCTCTTCAATCAGGCTGAAGAAATACATCCCGGTTATTCTCTACTCAATTACATGTACTTGGCCAAGGTAATGAAGACCACTCTTTAAATATCACTTTGACCTCATTACTTAGAAAAGTGAGTCTTTTTAACATGACTACTTTTCATTTCCAGTGTTATGTAGATCTTGAGGAAAATCAGAATGCTTGGAAGTTCTGTAATTTGGCCTTGTTACTTCCCTCTGTTACCAAAGAGGTAAGTCTAGACAGTAGCAGTGAGTGCTAGAATTTCATCAGTTCTATTCAAGCTTAAAACCTGAACTGGGTTAGTGTACTTGGAATTTCCTTTCTTTATTAAATAATATTTATTTTTGTTTTACCAGATTTATTGCAGTGTAATTGACATAAAAATTGTAGGTATGTAAGGTATACAATTTAATATTTTGATGTATGTGTACATTGTGGAGTGTTTACCACACTCAAGTTAATTGATATATTCATCACCACAGGTAGTTACCTTTCTGACTGTTAAAAAACTTAAGATTTACTGTCTTAGCAAGTTTCAAGTATATGATACACTATTATTAACTGTAATCACCATAATGTGCATTGGATCACCAAAACTTACTCATCTTACAAGTTTGTACCCTTTGACCATTGAAGAAGAATGGGGCAGTGTTGGCAGTCACCTAATTTCTGCTTCCATGATAGTATTTTCTTTTGTATGAAAACATTTTTACTTGTATTTTTCACATACAATGAAGTCTTAAATTTTGCTTTATGCCCAAGATAAACTAGCACAAGGTGATTACTTGGATCTTTAAAGGACAGGCATGGCATGGGCTAGCGGATAAATACTGATGCTTAATAGGTCTAAGAGTGCAGGGAATGGAACAAGTACCACTTAGAAGGAGGAAGGACAGCATAATTTTGAGAAGCTGGTGATTAAGAAG